GTACTATGCTAAGTGAAATAAGTCAATCAGAGAAAGACAATTATCATATGGTTTGGCTCATATGCAGAACATAAGAAAGGGGAACATAAGGGAAGGAGAGGAAACTGAATGGAGAAAAAACAGAGAGGAAGACAAACCATGGGAGACTCTTAACTCTGGGAAACAAACTGAGGGTTGCTGAAGGGGAGGGGAGTGACGGGATGGGGTAACTGGGTGATGGGCATTAAGGATGACATGTGATGTGATAAGCACTGGGTGTTATATACAACTGATAAAAAAATCATTGAAAACTACATCTGAAATTAATGATGTAGTATATGTTGGCAATTGAATTTAAATTTAAAAAATTAAAATTAAAATAAGGAAAAAAACAATGTTATATGTCAAAGATCAATATATGAAAGTCAATCACATTCCTATATACCAGAAATGAACAATTCGGATTTGAATAAAAAATAACACATTTTTTTTAGCAATTGTACAATTGCTTGCTTTTTAGCAATTATACAAAATATTAATATAAATACTTAGGTATAAATATTTTACATATGTTTGTAGGATTTATATACTGAAAGTTACAAAACACTGATGAAGAAAATCAAATATATGAATAAATGGAGGGATACACCATATTCATGAATCAGAAAACAAGAATGTTAAGATGTTAAATGTCAATTTTTCTAATTTGATCTACAGTTTCAAAGGAATGACAATAAAAATCGCAAACTTTTTTGCAGATTTTGACAAACTCATTCTAAAATTTCTATGGGAAAAAAAAATTTCCATGGAAAGCAAAAGAACTAGAATGGCCAAACAATTCTGAAAAAGAACAATGCTAGATGATGCACACTACCCAATTTAAAATCCTACTAGAAAAAAAAATCCTACTAGAGAGCTATGTAATCAACATAGTATATTATTAATGAAAGGATAGAAATATCAACTAATGCACAGAATAGAGAACAGAAATATATTGACACGTATATAGCTAACTGATTTTTGACAAGTAAAAGGCAATTCAATGGAGGGGGGATAGTCTTTTCAATAAATAACACTGGAGCAAATGGACATCTATATGAAATAAAACAAAACTTTTAAATACCTCATACATTATATAATAACTCAAAATGGATCATAGACCAAAGGTGAAATGAAAAACTCTTAAAATATCTAGAAAAAAAAAGGAATTGGTCATGAGCTTTTTAGATATATCACCAAAGGCACAATCTATAAAAGAAAAAACTTATAAATTAGGTGTTATATTTTTAAACTTCTGTTTTGTGAAAACATCTTAAGACCATGAGAGGAGAAGGCACAAACTGGAAGAAAATATTTGTAAATCACATATTTGATAATTCTTGTACCCAGAATATATAAAGAAATCTTAGAACTCAACAATAAGAAAAGAAACAACCCAATCCTTTCAAAGACAAGTGATCTGAAGAGACATTTCACCAAAAGAAGACATCTAAATGTCAGAGAAGCACAGGAAAAGAGGAGTAACAGCATTAGTCATCAAGAATATGCAAATTAAAATCCCAATGAGATATTAATGCACACGTATTCACATGGCAAACAAAACAAAATAGAAGCAAACAAACAAAAATTCTGCAAAGTGCTGTTGAGGATTCATAGCAACAGGAACATTTATGTTTTATGGGAATGCAACATAGTAGCCACTTTGGAAAACAGTTAGGCAGACATTTATAAATACACACTTTCCATATGACCCAGCAATCACATACTAGGTATTTTCTCAAGTGAACTGAAAATATATGTTTATAAAATGTGCATGGAAAGTGTTTATAGCAGTTTCATTCACAATCACCAAAAACTGGAAAAAAAACAATATGTCTTTCAACAGGTGAATATATAAACTGTAGTATATCCATACAATGGAAAGTTATGCAGCAATACAAAGGGATAAAATGTTGATACACACTGCAATATGGATGTGCATTTTGGTAAATGAAAAGAGCTAAATCTAAATAAAACACTACATATTCTATAATTCCATTCATATGACATTATGGAAAAGGCAAAGATATAGGGACAGAAATGTTATCAGTAGTTGCCTAAGAATGGGGTTGAAGGAAGATATTGATTACAAAGGTGACATGCAAAAGAATATTTTAGAATGATCAAACTGTTCGTTATAATTTGTATGAAACCACAAAAGCCCCCAAATAGCCATAAAAATCTTGAGAAAGAAGGACAAAGTTGGAGGTATCATAATCCCAGATTTTAAAATATACTACAAAGCTGTGTAATCAAAACAGTATAGTACTGGCACAAAAATAGACACACAGATAAATGGAACAAAATAGCCCAGGAACAAACCCAGGCTTATATGGCCAATTAATCCATGACAAAAGCAGCAAGAATATATAACAGGGAAAAGACAGTCTCATCAACAAATGGTGCTGGGAAAACTGGACAGCTACATGCAAAAGAATGGAACTGGACTACTTTCTTACACTTTCATGCACAAAAGTAAACTCAAAATGTATTAAGACCTAAATGTGAGACCTGAAACCATAAAACTCCTAGAAGAAAACACAGGCAGTAATTTCTTTGACATCAGCCATAAAAACCCTCTTCTACATATGTATCCTCAAGCAAGATAAATAAAAGTAAAAATAAACTATTGCGATTACACCAAAATAAAAAGCTTTTTCACAGTGAAGATCAACCCACAGAATGGGAGAAGATATTTGCAAATGCTATTTCTGATAAGGGCTTAATATCCAAAATACATAAAGAACTTAATCCAATTAAAACCAAGCAGAAGGCCTTAACCGATATTTTTTCAAAGAAGACAAAATGATCAAAACAGGTTGTGATCCCGGGATCCTGGTATCGAGTCCCACATCAGGCTCCCCACAGGGAACCTGCTTCTCCCTCTGCCTATGCCTCTGCTTCTCTCTGTGTGTCTCTCATGAATAAATAAATAAGATCTTTAAGAAAAAACACTGTATGGTAATAATTAATTACTTGATTAATTCATTAAAATGTGACATATATTTATGTAATATGGAAGTGATAACTCATGTCACATAATGTTGGAAAGATTAAATAAAGTCAAATATGCAAAAAATAAAAACTGTTCTTTGTGATACTGGGGTGGTGAGTACATGACTATGCATTTGTCTTAACCATATCTGCAGATTTTTTTAATTTACATCTGTACACCAGAAATAGTGACTTTCACTGTTTGTAAATTAAAGCACAAAACATACAGAAACCAACTAAAATTGTGAGACAATTAGGATGGAATGCAGATTGTGGTAAATCAATCTGACTGTATTACAAATGTATAGTACGACCTCACTGAAGGGGTGAGGAAGAAAGGAGTTAGCTTAAATAACTAAAAAACAAGTGTTTTGTCTTGATATTAAAATGCTAAAAAGAATTACACCCAAGCATTGCACTCTAGTTTTTAAATTTGTTTCTTAGAGTAGTGAAGTTCAGCAATTCTGACACTATGTTACATATATATTAAATTTGAACAAATAGTAAAATATATGTGACAGTGATAGAAGTCATGTTTCCCAATGTCAAAGAAAAAAGTTTCAAATAACCTTATTTATGACCAAGATGGGAATATCAGAATGAACTCTCTAATGCTGGGTTGAAATCAAACATGTCAGTATGAACTCATGTTTTTTTGTTTGTTTGTTTGTTTGTTTGTTTTTTTACCATATACACAGACAGAAAAATAAACATAAATCCATGTGTTAACAAAGATAATATATATATGCATGTATTTCCTAGATCTGCCCTCCAAGAAGGCCTAGGAAAAAGTATACTCTAACAGCAACAAGCACACTTAGTACCTAGATCTTAATTTCTAAACATCTTTCTACAGTGAAAGAAACCAGGACTTCTTGGGAAAATGGCTGGTTCTATGATCGAGACAGGGAACACATGAGATGATCCTGTAACATCTTATACTGTCAGAAAATTAAAAAGGAGTTAAAAATAAAGGGAATGTATGTCAAAGGACATAGGAACTAACCTAAAAAAGCTCCCACTGGCTAAAACGAACAATTTGAACCAAGTCAAACAAATAATGGATTATCACCCAAAGAATAAAATAAATACCCATAAGCCCATATGAATAGAATTAATAGATAGAAAAAAATAAGTAATAGTGAGAGAGAATGGACTGATCTCTCCTTCCAAAAGAATTCCAATTCATAATGTAGAAAAAATGAGGGGAATATAAAGTCACCATTAGAACATCATAGCAATAGCTGCAGCAGGCAAAATCCACTGATAAACACTAAATTAATGAGCAAAACCTAGGAGAAACTGAATATTTGCATAGCCTCAAAATATCTTCCCTCAAATATTTGTTAATTATTGTGGTGTCTTAACCATATCTGCAGATTTTTTTAATGTTCCTTCTTGCAAGAGGAGTTTAATTCCCTTCCCCATGAGTATGGGCTCAAGTATTTACTTCTAATAAATAGAGTATAGGAAGAGAAAAATAGTAACTTTTTAGTGGAGAAAGCGAATAGATATCATCTTGACCAGGTTATCAAGGTTAACATCACCAATAAAATATAATATTGACATTATGCATACCCTGATCTAAAGCAACATAAAGGGCATATGACTTCTGTGATATTGTTACCCAAAATTCATAACATCGGCTTAATCATAATAAAACTTCACACAAAAACCAACTGAGGAACATTCTACAAAATACTTGACCACTATTCAGAAGGGTCAAGGTTGTGAAAGAAAAATAAATATTTTGAGAAACTCAGGAGATAAGATATAACTGCCAAGGCAACTTGGTATTCTGAATTGATCCAGGAATAGAAAAAAAAAATCAGTGAGAAAACTAGAGAAACCTGAACAACCTATAGTTAAGACTATTTTTTTCAAGTTTTGAAAATATTTATTACAAGAAGATTCCCTTTCCCATATTAAAAGGAAAGCATATTACTGGAAATATTCAGAGGATGGAAACTAGGTTAAACCAATTCCCAAGTCCTCATCAAATAAAGTTATCAATAAAGGAAAAGATAGTTTGGAACTTAAAATTAGGGAGGCCTATACACAATTTAGATGGGGAAAGAGAAAAACAGAACAACGTGAGAATGATCATTTACACCTTGCAGTCTTTAATTAAGAACATAAAACTGTACTATTTAATATATTTCTCCATGAACTTTTTGTGAAATTCAGATCTCAGTGTATCATTTACAAATCTTTTGTCTTTCTTTTGATCATCTACACCTTTTGCACAGTTCTTGAAAACAACATTATCATCCCACCTTCTTTTAACTTTGAAGTTGGCCTGAGGCTGGGATGGACCAGTGAGATTAAGGAGAGGGTTTCCACTCAAAATGTTTTCCATACGTATTCTTTCTTCTTCAGCTTTCTGTTCTTGTTCCTTCCTGGCCTGCTCTTCAGCTCTTTCCTTTTTAATTTTTTCTAGTTCTGCAAGAAGAGCTGCAGTGTCATCATCATCACTCTCCTCTTCAAAATCTTCATCCTCATCTTCCTCATCTGTTAGAGGATCATCTGCATCAAGGTTGGCAGCAGGAATCTGGTCTAACCGAGGCTTCTTTGACACGAACGAGGAGGTTGTATGTTCTCTTGTTGGACGGTCTCTGTTTTTTTCTCTTGCAGCAACTCTCTCTTTCTTTTCCAGCTCCTTCCTGAAGTCATGGTTGCGAACCTGTTCAGGGGCATCCTGAGTAGTTTGTCTATATTTTATCTCTGTATGAGAAGGTAGGTCTCTACTTGAATACTGCTTTGAGAGTTGGCTCAAATCACCTTCTCCTTTTCTTCTCCCACCTCTCGCAGGTTCAAAAGTTGGCCTAGCTGCTGTTGTCATCTTTTATGCTCCCAGTAGCCTCCCTATAGTTAAGACTATTGTACCAGTGCTGACTTCATAGGTTTTTCATCTTTTTTCTTTTTTCTTTTTCTTTTTTTTTTTTTTTTTTGAGAGAGAGAGAGAGAGAGTAGGGGGCGGAGAGTAAAGGCAGAGAGAAAGGGAGAGAGACTATCTCAAATAGACTGTGCTGTGCATGAAGCAGGATAAGAGGCTCAATGCAGAGCTCAATGCAGGGCTTGATATCATGACCTGAGCTGAAACCAAGAGTCAGTCACTTAACTGACTGAGCCACCCAGGCATCCCTCTTAGTTTTAATAAATGACTAACATGAGGGGAAATTGAGTGAAAGGGATATAGGAACTCTAGACTATCTTCACAATTATTCTGTGAATCTAAAATTATTTCAAAATATAAAGATTTTAGAGTATTATGAATACTTTAATTTCCTTAGATGTTCTCTCTCTAAATTTTACTGTGCTTCTGTTTCCCAAGAATCTCCAAGAAAGTGAACAGGCTCCAGGCTGTTAGGCAAGTAGCAACAACACTAGCCTAGGAACCTGAAGCTTTTGGTTGAACTTCCAGCCCTGCCAACAAGGATGACCCTCAGGTAACTTGGGGGCCCAATCCTTAATCCTTAAAATAAGGAGTTTGCATAATCTGACTCCCACATACCACTTTTATCACAATAAACAAACAAACAAACAAGCAAACAAACAGAAAAGAACAGTAGGGTAGAACTCATGTTTCAAAGAAAATATAAAACTCAAAGTGTTTTTTCTTTTAAAGATTTTACTTCTTTATTCATGAGAGACACATAGAGAGAGGCAGGAGACAGGCAGAGGGAGAAGCAGGCTCCTCACAGGGAGCCTGATGTGGGACTCGATCTTGGACCAGGATCATGCCCAGAGCTGAAGGCAGATGCTCAATTGCTGAGCCACCCAGGCATCCCTCAAAGTGTTTTTTCAATGTAAAAAACATATAGCAAAAAACCACAAATGTCAATAAATTAAATATTTATTCCTAAGAGACGTTAGGAACTCAAAGCGTTGGCAAACCTCATTCTTGCCATTCCCCATTAGAAGGGAGGTCAACCTACATCTTATTAATCACCAACTGGAAAGAAAAGAGAAGTCAAAGCCAATTGCTCCAAATAAGAGAAATTGTCCTGGCTATGAAGGAGTGGTCAGCCCATTGTCGGTTGCAAGTGCGACACCAAGGGTGTTGTCGCATGCAAAAGCATGTCAAGGCACCTAATCAGCTGGTTAGGAGTAATAGCTGCTCTTTCCAGACACACATTGAATTACTTAATTCCAACTTTTAAGTTAGATTATAAATCTATTCATTCAAGCATCACAATGCTCTATATTAAATGAATACCAAAAATATCCAGGAAAGAGTTTCGTATAATTGCCTTCAATACTGTTTGCAGTCTTTATTATAATATTTAGTCTGTTTTTCTCATTTAAGCAATTATCAGGGCTGCTATGGCTACACAATAAGGTCTTAGAAAAGGAGGATTCTTTGCCGTCTAGATCCTGAAAGCAAGCTTATTAAGAATGACACGGGAAGAATTACAAGCATTCATTTTCTAAATTTCAGGGCCCTTTTCTATAAAGTCAAAGGGTACTATAAAATGTGTCAGGGAGCCACACATGCAGATATTCACATTTCACTTAGAAACTCTTACGGATTGCAAGTCTCTAAGTGGGTCTCTGTGAAAGGCAAGTATTCAGAATGTCACTCTTTTCCCAAGAGAGAGCAGGTTTTGATTGCAGAACATGTTACATTAATGAAGCTTTGTTGGCAGCTGGTGAGTAAAGCTTCTGGGTAGCATAACCCATTTTTCCTAATACTATGCTAAAAAGAGCCAAGCCTGAGCCATGCTCCAATTACTGGGAAAGAAAATCAAAAGAGGACAAGTGAATAGGATTTTTTGGTACTTACTTATTTTGATATAGTTTCAAACTTACAGAAAAGTTACAAAAACAAAACAAAAAGCTCCCATATATCCTTAACCCATACTGAATTTTATATACATAAAATTACATATAGATATGATATATATCTTATATGTGATATGTGAATATATGACATATACCTATACATAATTTTATACATATAATTATGTACATATATAATTTGTGAAAAATAATTTAAGACTATGTATATCCTGATCCGCATCCAACTTTCATCCAGTAGTATTACCATCTACTGATGATTTTTGTCCAAATCATTTATTACATACCAGTTGTGAAATGGTGATTTTTCTAACTCAATCTTTCCTTCAACACTTACTAATTAGCATTCTCCTCTAAAGAAGAGCCTATCTCCATCTTTCATTTACTCATTTGTTCATGTCGGTATTGACTCATAAGTTCTTATTTTATTCAATGATCTATAATTCATGACTATCTTTGTGTTGATGCTAAAATTGCCAATTGAAAGAATGGTTAGGGCACAGTAAGTGAGTTTTCCAAAGTTTGCTTCGGAAGCAAATGGTCACTTTGCCTTCAAAACATTTTAAGGTAAAAAAAAAAAAATGTGTCCTCCTATTTGAACAGAAACACTAACAAATCTTTTCCCCGCTCAGAAACTCCTGTCTAGACACATTACTCTTTCACAGCACCAAATCTCTGTTTTGCTCCCTATCCAGGGCTGCAGTTAATTACATGAAGAGACAGATGCTGAGCAGCCTAAGGCTTCCTCTGCCACCACAGCGAGGCTGAGCTCCACTCAACAAGCAGGTAGTGAGTGAAGACAAATGCTGTTTGACAAGGCAGGATAGCCCAGCACCCAGGGATAGAAAACAGACAGGCCACTCTGTGTTCCCAAGCAAAGACAGAGAAATATCAAGCAGATTGTTTCTGACAGAAATCATATCACAGCCGCACTTCCAGACAAAGTCCGTGTGAATGAAATGATACACTTTCTGTTTCCCATCTTCCCCTTTAACAAAAAAGGAGTATATCAAAGGTACATTGAAGGTGACAGCTCAATGCAAGGTGGTTAGAAAGATTTTATAAGCTTGGTTTCCCTTTGGAGATTTTTAAAGAATCAGCAACAGTTCATCAATTTAGATGCTGTAGCTAGCTATTCCTCTTGATTATAATGAATTTTCAGGTTCCCTAGTACTGCAACATTCAAGTACTCTAGGTTCGGTGAAGGTGGTGTCAAAATAGAAAATTAAAGCCATGAGCAGTCTCTATGTCACATGGAAAAATAGAATAGTCTAATTTGAACTTTTCTAAAATTTATTAAGCAAAGATTAGCTGAAAAAGTAGCTTCTCAAATGTAAACTCATGCTAGTGTACAGACAGAAGTTATTTTAGAGGCCATCTAATGACTTATTCTTACACATTAAAGGGTGCAGAAATGACATAAAAATAAAAATTTCTCCTCAATGGGTATACTTTGGAGAGGAAATAGTATTTTTATCCAATCCAGAAATAATTTTGCCAATGTTTTCCTCATTAGTTGTCAATGAATGTGAATTTAAATTATTCCTATCAAGGCATAATTAAATTATTTTAGTGTATTCTTTTTTAAACATTTTTGTTTTTCATTGGGCTCATAGAGAGTACTTACATATTATGTCACAGAGACAATAAATCAAACAAACTAATGCATAACTCCTAACCAACTGTTGTTTTCAGAAGAAAAAAAAAACCCTCCAATACAACCTGCTGTGAGCCCAACTGTTGGGTGGTAGACCAACAACAATGATCATTCCCAAAGGAGAAGAGGGAGGGGTGCCAAACAGACATTCAGGGAGCTTTATTTCTCACCAGAAGGCTCAGAATAAGCTTTAAGAGAAGTAGGTAGCAAGAAATTGGCTCTCAAATTATATTATAAATCTATTGCTTTAAATAATATTTTAGTCGTTCCTCTAATTTTCTTTTACACTGTCTCCATTTTGAGCCATACTGCAGTTCTGTAAGTCAAAAGTTATAAATAGAAACGTTCAATTTTTCTCATAGAAATTAAATTATAGTTGGGGAGTGTATTCTTGACCAAAAACTCTCATCAAATAAATCACATGCCCACTATATTTAAGAGTCTGTTTTTTTGTTTGTCTCTTTTTTCCTTTCTCGTTTATTTCTTAAATTCCACATATGAGTGAAATAGGTGAAGGGGATTAAAAGTACATTTACCATTATGAGCACTAAATAACATATAGAATTGTTGAATCACTATATTTTACACTCTACTAATATAACACTCTACGTTAATTATACTGGAAAAAATATTACATGACACCAAAACAATATCCTAAAAAGAGTTGTAACAGCTATACATTTCCATAATAATTTAGAATAGTAAAAACATCTCCCAGTCTTAAGAAATTATTAATATGCTATATACAAGAATCATTCAGAAGACCCTTGTGCCCTACCCTTTATGAAATAAATTTGACCCAAAACTAATATAATGTCATAGAAATAAACTAGCAATCTCATCTATCAATAATGGTGTCTTTTTAAAATTTAGATGGACTTTTTAAATATAATTTAGGTGACTCAGATGTCTTTAAATATATATACAAGGCATCTGAACAAAAATTTTCCTTTTTTCTTCAAAAAAATTTGTAAGGTTAATCAAATCATATAAATCAGTCCACAATTCATAAGTTCATAAGCTGCTTCAGAGCACTTTAGTAGCGCTTAATAAGATTCTTATTGGAGCCAACAATGAAACTATTTCCACCAGGCTGGGGGGCAAAATGGAGCATTTTAATAAATTAGAGCTGACCCAATAGTTCTCTCATTTATATTTCTTGCCTCTGTAATTTATTTCTGTGATTCTCAACTTGACTACCACAAAGATAGTCATGGCAATAAAGCAAACTACTCAGTGTGATGAGTTCTATAAGAGAAACATGGGGTGTTGTGAAGCACATAGAAGAGACATTGACTATGAACTTGAGAGTCAGGAAAAACTTCCAGGAGATGATACTATGGCTGACATCTAAGCCAAGACCTTACGGACAACTAGGAGTTAGTGGGACAAAATTTC